TGAAAGCATAATATTGTATTTGACTTGCTGCACAATATCTACCAAGGTGGTTGTAAATGGTTCCTGAATACCTCCACATGTCATTTGGAGACTTCCATGCTTCTTCAAATCACTTTTCATAGCCCCATCGCAGGAAATGCCTTCTTTTTAGCCAATAAAAATGTCCCAAAAATTTCTGTTTAAATTAAGAAAAACCAAATGCCTTCTTTTTAGCCAATAAAAATGTCCCAAAAAATTCTGTTTAAATTAAGAAAAACCAGATTGGGTAGTTTTTTTTAAACAAAAATGTCCCCCCACTGGCTCGTAAGGGGCCTGTTAAATAGTATATTGGCCTAATCATATGCAAGTTGTTTCTACAAATTAGTATTAAACTACAGAGTTTTCAAATTGCTGTTCCAATAACCTTTTGACAAACTTCCCAGTTATGTACATAATGGATACATTCAAATAAACGTAAACTGTTTTGATGCATTAAAATATCTTGATGTACTAAGTTATCAATATAAAACATTACAATATAATTATAATATGAAATATCAGACACTGTTTTATCAAAATAATAATTTAAACATATATTACCTTGATCATGCTGAAAGTTTCCCCAGCATCCATGATCTATACAAAAGAATCAACAGAACACTAATTACATGCATAAAATACACTGTCCAAATAAAGGGGTGATTATGCAATGATAAATTATATTTTATTGATACAAAGCACACATTTCATTCAAGATTGGAAATCTTTCACAGAGAGAAGAAATCATTCTTTTCTAAACAACAACAAAAATGTGCATCACAAATAAGAGTTCATATCTGAATTTTCATCAAAACTATGCTTTCATGTGTACACATATGATTTACACACAATGAAAGTTGGGCCAAATACATGTATATTTACCTATGACTATATGTCATTTACAATACAACTGTTTGCACAATATATTTTTAGCAATTCCTATTGACATGTCTACTTATCTATAGACAAAAGAACTGAAGTTTTTCATATTTCTCAAATTAAAAATGTGATGCTTTTGGATTGCAAGTAAATCACTATTAACTTCTCAGTATGAATTCTTATTGTGTTAAGCAGCACTCCAGCAACTACTAACTGATGAGTGGCAAGGACTCCACTGCTTTACTAGAAGAAAAAAGGGGGGATGAAAACACAATGGGGAGTCCAAAGGAATGTGTCATCATAAGACAGTGCAATGGAGGACCACGAAAACCCTATTTTTAAAATCAGGCCCGCATTAGGTTTTAACCTAGGCATGGACAATGGGCAGGAACCCCCTCCCTGCTTTACTCATGCTAATCCATGAGTGGGTAGAGTCTGAATCAGGCCTTGTTGTTAAAATACTTCAATCAACTTGTACTTACTGTTACTAATGTGTAACTTATGTAGACAAACTTGTAATACCAGTATTGAAAGAGATTTCCCATTAGATCTTGATAATACTGGTATTACAAGTTTGTCTACATAAGTTACACATTAGTAACAGTAAGTACAAGTTGATTGAAGTATTTTAAAATTACGTGCTACGAATGGCAAAGTCTATATTTAATTTTATTTTTTTGTGGATGAGTGGTGGCCTCAATGGGCTAAGGTATTAAATGTCTTTCTGTCACCTTGATTTTTCTTATTTATCAAAAAAAAAAACCTAAATATAATCCATAGTATCACACATGCAAAACGCAATGTATGGACAACAAGAGATTATTGGAATTCAAGGCTATTCTTTTATGCACACCTACCCTTGATAACAATAAAAATGTACACCCATCCTTTATTTTTCATGACTGCTAATAACAATTTATTCCATGAACCAATCAACCAATTGGTAGCATAAAACTGTCTTCACTTGAGCCTAGCTTGACTTTTTAAATTCTTAAACTTTTGTCCTCTCATCCTATTGTCTTCAGAATGCAGCACAAAGAAATCAGAGGCTATATCCTATAAATCTCCCTCATAATATTTAAAATATCAATAAGATCACCTATATTTTGTTTGTTTGTTTGTTAGATTTTATGCAAAACTACATTAGCCATCCTTAATTTTGAACTGAGTAATTAGAGGGAAGGTGGCTAATAAACACCATCCATTGCCAACTCTTGAACTACTCTTGTCAGGTTGGATAGTAAGATTTGACTCACTCTTATAAAGCACCAACAATCCCAAAGTGTTGAGCATTATTATTTTTGATAGTAATGGAACAGAAAGCTCAAAAATTCATCTCTACAGTCCAGCATGATAAGCATGGTTTCACTTTGTTTTGAAAGCTAAAAGAAGACCCGAGAGAACTTTACAACCATTGAGTTGAGGGAGGTTAAAACAATTAGAGGCCACAGTCAGATTATCCTGTGAAAATATTATACTGATAAATTTTAAAAGTGGTTTGCCTGTCAATGTGATACTAAACTCTTTGAATTTCTATATGAATAATATTTAAAGCATTTAATTTAGTTTGGATATTTTATAGTTTAATTAGTCTTTATCACTTTATTATGTTTTTCAGACACTGAACATGCTAACAATTTTACAAAATTTCTAATGGGAAAACATTAACAATATAACCAGTCATTCTTAATTATAATTTATAATATAATATAATTTATAAACTGAATTATGCATATTTATCAGTATTACTATTATTTCAAATTTCTGGCTTTGTTTATGAATAATAATATTAATAATACTTCAGAGACTAAGATCATTCTTTTTCAAACAACTTGAGATTAAGAATATTAATATCATGATCCTGCACACGCATGAATTGAAAGTTTCTCTTTCATTGTTGTTGTTTTAAATATAAAGCCTGCAGAATATTCATAGTTTTTGCACTTTACATCATATAACAGTAAAGAAAAGCTAACTATTTTCAACTTTCAAGTCACCATCAGCCTTTTATTTGGATTTATAATATAAATTGTTGAACGAAAACAATGGCTGTTTTTGCATTAACTGGAAACCTAATTTAACAACAGCGAATAATTATTCCTAATAGTAATATATCATTTAATGATGTACATTTTGCCACTGTAATAATTGGTATCACTTTGAATTTGACAATGTGGGATTTTTTAATAACTATAAACCCTATAAATAGTAACACTAGTAGGAGCCTAAACTACACTATTTTTAATACTGAAACTTAAATGTATAATAATTAAAATGAAAATACGGTCAAACTTACTCCCTTACAAAGTTTGTCATATAAGGTTTTCCAAAAATGTCTTGGAACACCAGACAGCTCGAGTTGAGTTTGATGCGTTAGTAAAAATGTTGACAGATTATTAATGCCATCAACCACGTGCCGTTCACTACCCGCCATTTTTATATTCATTCGCTAAAATTACATGTAAACCCAACCCTCAAATTATAATTGGACCTTTCCTCTGATTTACCATTGAAAACACATGATGTCTCCTTCCGAAAAGCGACATCTAGCTGTTAAATATTAAAATTGTTGTTTTATTACATGTTACAGCTTTTAGAGTAAGGAATAATATTTTTTAGAACAGGTACGACGTTTCGATCACTGCATGGTGCTATCATTCTCAAGTACACCAGTAATCGAAACGTCGTACCTGTTCCAAAAATATTCTTCCTTATTCTAAAAGCTGTAATTTGTAATAAAATAATACTTATACGTGGTTAATGATATAATAATTTGTCAACATACTTGAGTAAGGAAGCACATTATGGTAATATAATGTTACGTCTCCGTTTGTTAATTGATTTTTCCGTAACTTC